CCCCATCATGCTTGACACTGAGTAAATAGTAAGAGGCTCTATCTGCCTTCAGATCTTGTGGTCAGTGTAGAGGAAAACTGAGAGAGGACCCAAGAGAGAGCCAAAAGGCAGCTAGACCAACAACAAGGTATTTAGCAATGCACATTACTAGATAGCTGCAACCACCAGGAAAGAAAGGAAATTTCTTCATGGCCATTCGCCAAGGCCAGTGCTTATATTACACCAGGAGGAGAAGGCATAAGACTGTATGAGATAAACATTCCCTGATCTATGAGTAGGACTCACCCATCAACAGAGACAGGCTAATGTATTTTGAAGACAAACAGCAGAAGTGCTTGAACCTGAAAGTGTCTGACCACTGCCTGTGCTGCGCTGGCCATCCCCAGCTGAGAGACAGAACCTGGATCTTGCAGAACTGAAGAAATCAGGGATTTCCTCTAGCTGCCTGATCCAGATTTAAACATCTGCTCTGTACAAAGGAAGCAAAAAGGAGAAAGATGAACAACATGGTGAGGATGCAATGAAATGTTTCATGCACGTAGTGATGTACACATTGCACTAGCACTGATACAGCTGAGAGAGCTTGGAAAGCAGATTTCAGGGAAGATGCAAGTATCTGCTCTAACCTCACCAGGTTCATGTGGACATTCACCAAACTTCCTCTAGTGCTTTTGTTTATAATACACAGATATAATTTCTGCTTGTCCAGGAAAGGGATTAAAAGCTGAGGTGAGCAGACAGGACAACCAGAGTCTGTAAGTTTTTGGATTTCAGACGTTTCTAGAGCAAGAATTCAGAAACTGGTCTTCAAACCAAAACAGAGTGAGCCCAAGGGTCAAAGATGAAAACACTTCCCAGGAATCTGGAGAGCACACATTAGCTCTGGTTTATGAAGTCACTTGAATCTGTCCTCTTAGCTTAAAAGGCAAATTTTTTTTCATAAATCATGATCTGCCTTTTGAAGGGAGCAGGAAATGATAGCTGAAGCCTGGGAGACTGATTTGAGAGCAGTGCCCACCATACAGTCCCAGGTCTGGCCTCAGCTGGCAGCGCTGTAAGCTGGAGTGGTAGAGGCTGCCAGCTGCCTGCAGAGACATGCATGGCAGCCGTGCTGTGTAGAAACAATAAAAATGCATTTGCAAAATCAAGTCCTATGTTTCATTGCCATTGTTTACCAGGGCATGAAGCTACTCTTGTCTAAGAGCTCAAAACCTGGACTAGGCTCTACCCATTCTTGACAATTGGCTTTTTGTAGAACATCACCCTATGCAGAGCCACTCCGACATCAGCTTTCCAGTCAGTCTCTGCCAGTGCCAAGTGGAAAAACAAATCCAAGCCCAATACCAAGGCATTTGGCCTGTTTTTCAGTTTCCACTTGAGCACAGGCGATTGCTTTTTCCTCTTGCCGATTGCCAAAAGGGCAACGACAACCCATCCAATCAGCATGTTCATAAGTTAATCAATGTCTATAGTTCAAAGAATCTTATTCTGAGACACCCCAAGTTAGCTCCTTCTTGACTGTCATTTCAGCATGGTCAAGGCACTGAGCAATCTGCAGGCATTTGGTCAGTTGGTTCCTAGAGCTCAGCAGTGGTTGTGGGTTGCAGTGGATGTAACCACTCCACTGAGATGCAAAGAGTATGTGCTTACCTGACTACACACTTGAAATTAAAGCGCTTGAAAGAGCTACACACCAGCTACCTCCTAACTGTCCAGAGTCACAGGCACCTGTCAACTTCTCTTCAGAGCAGACCAAACTCACAAGCACTCAATTACTAATAAATAACTCTTAGCCTCCTACAAGCCAGATCAGAGTTCAGTTAAAAACCACCATGGCAATCTTTTACATCTTGTCATCCAGGTTTATCTAAATTTCAGATACAGTTCAGATACCTGGGAAAAGAGATACGATTTTTTCAAACCACTGGGCTTTATCGGTGAGTACTCTTTCTCTTTCTCTCTGCCCTCCCCACCCCCCTCTTCCCCCTTCTGTACAAGTATACACAGACAGTGATCTAAGAGCTTGCAAGAGAAAATGCTTTACTTTTTCCTGAAAGCCCTCTGCTGAAGGCGGTGTTTCCCCGCCTCCATGCCGCTGACAAATGCTGATGTAAACACCATGCTTATGCCTGTCTAAAAGGCCACAGGGGTTTTCACATGAATCCTGTGTTTTTTCCACAAACCCCATTACACTGTATCTCAGCTTAAAATATAACTCCTTGTTTCTGATTAACCCACAAGGCTAAAACAGTTTACAGCAGTAGGAAGAACTGCTTAGCAGAACCAAATTTTGAATATTGGTGCTCCTCTGGCATATGAAACCCTTTCAACAAACAGTTGTAACTGTGGTCATATTAGAAAAACCAATACTGACACAAATATTGTTTGAAAAAAAAAAAAAAAAACAACCAAATTGCTTTGCCTTTGGTGTTGACAGGAGTAAAACATATAATTTACAATGCCACCGAAATTATAACAGGAAGGAAGCTGACCTCAGAAACTATAAACAGAATTTGACAGAGGTAGGAAGTACTTCAAATGCTTTCACATAGTGAACGTAAAAAAGATACTAAACAGAGAAAACGTTTCCAGGTTTTCTTCTTGTTTGCTTTTTCTTTCCTCCCCACTTCAGGTATCTGTAGTTATTTTGAACAGTAAGAAATGGTCACAAAACTAAATGCAGTTTTAAAGTCATCACATGCAAAATAATTTATGGTTCAAATCAACCGCTTGATTTTCCTTCCACTTTTCTCCCTGCCCCATCCCTCCAAGAGAAACACCTCAACCTCTTTGGTCAGTTAAAATAAGCCTTTCACCTGCATCTCTCTGTGTTCAAACTATGCAAGTTGTGTTTGGCCAGAACTTAGATGGTGCTCTTCTCCCTCCCCCTTCACAGCCACTGGCTTTAAATTATGCTACTTCAAGGAAAATAGTTAAAAGCTCATTCCAAAGCAAAAAATCATAATGCACCTTGATAGTCAATAGGAGTCTCCATGAAAAGAGAAAATGGCCCCCACCCCCCATTTTCACACACTTCACAGATCTCATAACTGTATTTCACACCTTGCTTGCTCTGTAAGCTCCTGCACCCAAGGACTCCTCTCAGGACCCTGATTTCCAGTAAAGAGGGGCTTCCTGGTGAATTCACTCCTATTCAAAACTTCAGTATTTTAATTCACTGTATCATCCTCCTTTTCACCCTCTCCTAGCTTTACTCACTTGAAAGCACTCTGGGAATTACAGCAACCAGCGACCACCACCTCCAGCTGCCAGCTCAGCAAGTGGCAGTCAGAGGTCCCCACGTGATGGGCCGGGCAGGGGGGCACCAGCTTCGTTCCCAGACCCAGAGGTCCTGGAGAGGCAGGGGCAGAACCTTCAGGTGACAGGACCAGATCCCTGGCTACAGGGCTCTGCTGCATTGTCCATGGGCCTGTCGGGAGACCAACAGCCGAAGGGTAACCTCCCTATTTTCCCCTTTTCTACTACCTGTGGCTAGTATCGCAGACATTTCTGTAAGCAAAAATACTTACCTTTTGACCTTTGTCTGCACTTCTGGCTTAGAACAGAGTTCCCCATAGACAGCCAGCAGCACTGCCCAGGTTCACAGTGCAGAACCCCGCACGTTAGATCTGTCCCACTACTGAAAACAACACATATGAATCGAGCTGGTAGGGAAATAGAACTTTATTCTAAGACATGAGCTGAAGCAATGAGCATATGAAGCAACGACCACTAGAAAAAAACTGAAAGAACACATCAAATATTTGTATTGTACCAGTTAAGTTTGAACACGAAAGTCCCTTTCTGTAAAATGTATGCACAGGACAAAAGCATATGCGAAGCTCTGAAGGTCCCCTAGAGCATTGCTTTTAATGTCTCCCCCATGGAAATCTTTCAGCCAGGAAAAAAACCTTCAAGTAACAAAGTTGAAATGATCTGTTGATTCTGTTTGGCACTGTGGAGAAGGAGGGGGATAATATATCCCAGAAGAGTATGCATCTCTAAGATGTATAAATTCAAAGTCCCTAGAACACAAGTCTGCTGCCAGACCAAGTACCATTTTTTCTTCCTCATTTAGGAAGTCAAGTGAAGTATGTCTGTTAAGCACAGGGGGATCATGTTCTGGAATTAAAGCTGCAAAGATTACACAGTCTGCTCAACAGTGAGGAAATGCCATTGACATGTATACTCAACAGATCTCTTTGTCTTTATAATGGCATCCTATCACTAAAAGTTGAAAATTGCATCAAATTCTACAAATGCTCAAACAGGTATTTTCCTTGACTGTCTTAATAAAGGAGGCCAAATGCTGCTCTCCTTGAGCTCTCCCTTCAGTTATTTCAGTACCACTGGAAAAACGCTGCAAGTGCCCACAAAGAGCAGAGGTGGCTCTATGTAAGTCAGAGGCAGTGGTTATTTTAACCCGGCTCATGCATGTGACATCAAAAAAGGGGTAGCTGGACCATTTCTGTGCTATTTGCAAGGTCTGCCAACTTCATTTTAATGCATATATACATAAATATATATATGTATAATGCATAGTAGCTTTCAATTATAAGAAAAATGTAATTTCTTCTTAAACCTGCACTTTGGGACTCTAGAATTTTAGTGATTAATCCACTAAATTCACAGGTAATATGAGTTGAATGGTCACTTTTCTTAACACAGTACCATAAATGCATCACCTCAGAAATTGCTATCATGGAAGCTAATCCAATAAAAACAATGGCAGCAACAAAATTCATTGTCAGGACAAATGTCAGTCAGGCATTAAAAAAATATGTCTCTGAAGAATTGCATTGTTTTCAAAAAATACACTGAAATATTCTATACAAGAATATAGGCATCACACTTACGAATCTAAATTTATAACCACTAACACGTATTAGCTATTCTCAATAAACCATCTACATTTACTACCCACCTACAGTAGCTACAGTTTCAAATCGGGAACACCACAAATTTATGTACTTTCCCTGAGATCAGTAATCCAAAATAAATAGCCCTGCAAAGGTAACAGTGTAAACTCTGGACTGAAGTCTTCGGTTAGTATCAATCCACAAAACCCAAGAAAAACATTAAGCAAACGTAAACATAGCAATCATTTTGTCAGTTTTGAGTTATTCTCAGCAACAGTGGAACTCTATGTGAGACATAGCATCCAAATGTTGAAGACACGTCACTTTTATTGTACAATACAGTTGTCCTAGTTCATTTTCCTATCATTGAACCCCTGAACGTATCCAGCTGTGATGTGGATCTCCAAATCGTGACCCAGATCTGCTCCTCCACTCTGCACAATCTTTGCATTGCCTTTAAAGACACTCTTTCTGAGGATCTTATTCTTGAATAGAGGAATGGCGAATAGATCTGTGATAATCCTCTGGACTAGTCACAAGTTCTGGTAAATCATAGCCTCTCAGCAGATGTCCACTGTTTTGTTGAGCAAAGTAATACAGCTGCCTGGCAAACATTGGTTCAACCTTAAGAACAGACAAAATGTTAATCAGACACGTGACAAAACTTCATGCTCCTCATCTTGATTATTTACGGTGGTTTTAAGTTAAAAACAAGGCGGGACAAAACAGTTCTGCTTACCAGAATGGGAAAAACGTTTCAGCGGTCTCACTAATCTCTATTTTAAGATAGGTCTTGCCTAGCCTAGCCTAGCTCTGCTGCCGAGTGCCTTACTACCTGCACACACTTCCTTACCTCCACAGCCTGGGAATGTATCAGTGACACAAATAATGTATAAAAAATTGCAGCCCCTTAGCCAGCCCCAGGGCGTGAGTGGTGCCCACAAGACACACGTGTCCACGGCCCCTCGAGGTGTTTAAATACATATGCAATATGTCAAAAGTCTTGTCTGCATTGCAAAGTACTTTGAAGACTTAACTTGAAATGCTAGAGCCCTCAGGCAGACTGAGATACATGGCCAAATGACTGTGTTTGAAATTAGACTTCGACCTCACACCATGATTTCTCTTGTTTCTCTTCATTCAAGCTCTGATGAGGAATCTGTTCAACCACCAAGTGGGATTTGTATGATTTAACACTGCCTTCACTTGTGTCTCTTCAGAAACCCCCACTGCCCCTCAGGGCTTTGGGCTCTGACTGCAAATATTTAAGCTGTACACTGAGAACAAGTACATGAAGCTCTCCTTACTCTCAGGGGACAGACAGGCTAGATGACACTTCTACACAACCCACTCCTACTGGTCAGCCAAGTCCTTCACATTAAGAATGGGCACCATTTGGAAGGAAAACAATGCCATAGGGGAGATGGGAAGGCAGCAGGACAGGTGAGCCAGACAGCTCCCATGGCATGTTTGGTGGGATGGTTGGAGCCCCATGAGCCCACGGGTCAGGACAGACTAAGAGGTTGAGCAGACTGAGCAATTGGTAAGGGGGAAGCAAAGGTCTAGAAAGAGCAGGAGATACAGGCTCACAGAAAAGATGCCAGGACCAGAGATGGATAAGAGGGCTGGTGAGAGGAAGGAGGGATGGAAAGCTGGAAAACCAAAATAGGAACAGAAAAGAGTTTAGGGAGAATCGGGAATGAGCAGCTATCTCTAACCAGCCATTGCACAGCTCAGGATGGAATCTGTGAGCCTCACAACTTCAACCCCAGAGAACTGCTAGGCAGCAATGCAGCTAAGGGGAGGCCACAGCTTATGATAGAACTCTGACTACTGAAGGGGCTACTACATTGTCCCCCTTCTGCTGCTACTGAAGGGGCTTTCGAAAAATTAAGAGAGATACTGGTTTTCTTCCCAAGGATGCAATAAGATAAGCCCTGCCACTAATGTGCACATTATCACCTCTCTTGTGGTTTTATGGGCCAATACAGCCAATTCAGAAAGTACCTGGTCTCAGTCTCTGTCATCACCCTCTCTCAGAGAGCATCCCGAAACACTAGCTTTGAGTGTGTGTGAACTGTGGTCAGTCAGCCCATGAGCTTGCCAGGTACTCGAACCCTGAAGCTGCACAGGCAGTCCCTGCATCTCATTAAGGTCCCTGAGATGCAGGCTGGGATTCTGGAGCACCTTCAGGTGCAGTGGATGAAAAAGCACCATGTCCTGCACTGGTACCACTGTGAGCACAGTCTGGTCTGGTGATAACAACACAGCCCAGCAGTTCCAGGGTGCATTTCAGCTTTAGGTATTGATGGGATTTTCAACAGATCACAAATAACATGCTCTACAGAGAGAGAAAATCAGGTGCTCTGCCCTACTGAGGGCTACCTGTCAGTCCTTGGCAGATCTGGGGATTAAACCTTGCTCTGCATGGTGCTGGTTTTTCAAGAATTTATTACCTCCCTCACAACCTACATGAGATTCAAAAGCCTGACTGGCAGATTCATATCCTCGAAGAAGTATGTTTCTTTTAGGTAAGGCAGAAATCCTACTCACATGGGCTGTAATTAGTTTCCTCTGCCTCTGTGGATCTGGAAATTCCTCCCCAAAGCAAAGAGCAACCTGGTATCTTGGCAGTGGACGTCCATGGTGAGCAAAGGCTTGTAGCTCTGGAAAAAGAGAAAGTTTTTGTTGTGGAATAATCATAGCAGACAGGCAAGCTCCATGCAGCTGCTCATTCACTCCTGCCCCTGGCATGGGGGAGAAAAACAGAACGACAAAGGCAAAAAAAAATTGTGCCTTGAGATAAAGACAATTTAATGAATAAAAGGAGAATAAGAAAAAAAAAGACGAAACAAAGAAAAATGGGTGATGGAAAAAGCAGTCGCTCACAACCAGCAGACCAATGCTCAGCCAATCCCCAAGCAACAACAACCTCTGGCAAATTCTCCCATGCCCTGTTTTACTGCAGAAAACAAGGTCATATGGTATGGAATATCCCTCAACTTGGGTCAGCTGTCCCAGCCGTGTCCCTTCCCAGACTCTTGTCCACCCCAGACTGCATGATGTGAGGGCAGAGTGAGAAACACAGAACACCTTGACATTGCACTTGCACTGTTCAACATTAGCTACAATATTCCTGTGTTATCAGCACTGTTTTGGTCACAAATCCAACCCATAGCACCACATGGACCTCTATGAAGAAAATTAATTCTACTGCAGCCAAAACCAGTATAGGCTGCTAAGACGGACTGTGTGGATGACCCTGGAAGACAAGGGGAAAAGATAAAGTAACTTCAGGGGAGGACAAGAGAGGTTAGGGAAAAGACAAGAAGTAAAGAGAAGACACTGAGTTTGGAGACCTTCCCACAGATCAGGGAGAGCTAGTTACAACACTGTAATTTTTCTACTTGTCTTGTCTCACAATTAATTTCATATGCACAAACCAAGACACCTTCCAATTAACACTTCTATTGGACCTCGGCAGCAGAACCCCTGGAGCAGAAGCTGGGAACCCTGGCAATAGCTGGGAACCACTCAAGCAGACACCCAACATCTGGACTGAAACCAATGGCTTAGTAGAGCCAGAGACTCAAAGTACTGCCAGGCATGAAATTCAGACCCAACTAGACAGTCATGGAGCCACTGCCACCACTGTATCTACTGGGGGACACGGAGGTGACAAAAGGTAATGGTTGTATTTTAGCCACGTACTGAGCCAGCAAAAGAGCCTCTGTCTTCTGTGCTCCTGCACTCTCTTCACCAACCCATAACCTTGTGCAAAGTGAAATGGTCAAATTATATTATTATTCCAATAGGCAGTGTCCCCTATGAAAGACAGTGGGGGAGACCTCTATGAGGTACTTGCACTCAGAAGAAAATCACCAATGTTGTGGACCAAACATTGTGTTTTAGACAGTGCATTTCCATCCAGTAAAGAGAAAATTCCATTTAAAGCAATATCTTTGCTAAACTCTGTGTTAAGTATTTCTAGATAGCTGACTGGTAAAGATTTCGTTTTAATTTATAACCCTGTTCATGTTTTCTGGAAAAAGCTGAATTTAATATTAAACCCAATGTATTATAAAGAGGCACCCTCCCTGCTACAGAGGGAAGAGAGAGTCTTTCAACTTAACATGACAAACACATCTCTTCCCAAAATACACCCCTGCCATTCCTACTCTTAACTGTGAGTTTTTCAGGTCAAGGTGTGAATTCAGTGGCTACCATAATAGCATCCCAACGCTGGCTTGGACTTCTAGTGTTACTAGTAGGGTCAGTAAAACAATGGGTAGCTCTCTTGAAACATTGACTAAAGCATAGTTTTCCCCAAAGTCTCCCCAGAATCACTGAAAAGTGCCATGAACTTTCTGAGGATATGCCAAGAGAGAACAGCTATTTTCCATGGGACCCTGCTTCCCTCTGTGCTGCCACAGCAGAGGGAAGGATGATCCACCCAAGGCCAGTCCAACCACACTGCTAATGGGGAACTTCTTTCACCTTCCTCTTTCCCATGTTTTACTTGGCCTCAGCAACTCTCCAAATCCTGAATACCCATGGGAATGCCCACAGCATGGACCTGGAAAAGAAAGTCCTTTCCCAGCAGGATAATTCTGGCTTGAGGTCAGCCCCATGCTTCTCTAAAACCCTCCACTCACTCTGTCTCCCTTTCCAGGCCCAAGTGCATCCTTCAACACCAGAGGTCTTCCCATGCGCCTCACCAAACCTTTCCCATCTCCTGATACTCTAGCTCCATCCACCTCTCCTTCCGCCAAGCCAACATTTCTCTGGCTGCCACTGTCACACTCCATCTGTGCTCCTACTCTCCAAGCAGCCCAATTTAGTGCATTCACCTCTCTTCCCAGAGACCATTCCCCTGGTTTCTGATTTATTGCCGTTTTAGCTTTCTCAGCAGTAGAGGCTTCTGAACACAGCTCCAGTGCAGTCTGCATTGCAGGGTCCAGCCCCTCAACGGTTTCCCAACAGCTGCAGTCCCATAGCAGCTCTGCATCTGTCCTTTCCTCTGCTGTTCACGATTCCCTCTTCTGGCAGAGATCTCCTGCCTCTCTTCTCAAGGGAGACCCAGTTTCATAGGCTGGGGGAATCCCTAAGCTTGCTTGCAGCCTGGGACCTCAGCACATTCAATTAACGTGCAGATGTGATCCGCCCATGGCAAGTCACTTACAAACCCAGCCGAGCATCGTCACATGCAAAAACTCACTTTGCACACACCACAGACTGTAACTTCAACCACATGCTTGGGTTTGCACAGGCACTGGTGCATAAGTAATTTAGGAGGGGTGAAAAATAACTATTGTTTGAGCTTCTCTCTGGGGGTTAGGTGTCTAAAAAGAGATGTCCTGTCAACCGTTTGGAAGAACCCAGAGTACATCTAAAAAACCACCTGAAGAAAAGGGAAAGGGATTTCCAAAACCATCATCGGGGCAGAATTATACATCTTTAAATTAGCATGTGATTGAAGCCCAAGCCAATACCCTGACCTCAAATTCCCCTTTCTAACTGTCAATTCTCACATTCATATAAGATTTCTCTCTTTAAATGCATTTTTTCTTGATGGTTTTTCTAGGACTGTGCATCAACTCTGGAATATAAAATATGCTAAATCTGCTGATTTAGATAGATTTAGTTTGCTGTTGCTTTGTTTTTTAATTTTGCAAGGCATTATTCACCTTAGAGTGTCATGCTGGTGCTGATGCTCTGTTCTAGTAAGAAAACACACCAAATCACAGGCACACAGTTCACCTCTAAGTGATACAAGAAATGTCAAAACAGGGCCAATGTGTATTACTACTGCCTAAGCTGTCCTCTGGGACAATTACCACCTCCCACCAGTTTCTCTGTGTGGACAGCTCTCTTCTCTAAGTACTCAGGTATGCTGGGAAGCAGAGTTGAGGCTTTGCCCCTTCTCTTCATGGACTGGAAGGAAAAAGCACTGTCCTAAAGTATGCCCTTCCCCCCTCTGCATTGACCGGTGCAAAACCAGGCATTTCCACAGAGCTCTGGCAAGGTAATGCATCTCCTTCCTCAGAATATTACTCAATACTGAAATTCCAGAGCTTGTGAAATCCTTTTTACCTCCAAGATATCTTTTAAACACTGGCATAGACTTAGAAGAAGGCTTTCTACTCAAATTTGTCCCTGGGCAAGATCTCACTCTGGGTCAAGTTGAAAGCAGTGCAAGTGCAGACTACAGACCTATCCAGGACTTAGACAAGCAGATACAAGATCAGGATCCATTTTGCTATGCCACTCAGTTTGAGGAAAGACTATTTTGTGAGGTTCCTCCTCATGCTTCTTATAGAAATGTGGGGAATTGGGTGTCACCAGCTGAGCATTAGTTCACTCCTGCTAGTTTGTGCAGGGGCATTGAATGTGCACACAGTACAGAAATTAACAAGACTATTCAGCATTCAACCACCCTTTGACTGCACTTGCCCAGAGGAATTAAGGGGTAATTCATCAGGTAGCATGGAAAGAGCACTCCTGTAAAGCTGATGTGAACAGCGACCAGGTGACGTCTCCAGAAACAATATCAAAGCCATAGTGGGAATTACCTGCTAAAAACTGCTGAGTATCAAACAGCTTGCATGTTTGGTCTCGTTCCAGCTTGTTGGGTTGGTCACTGCAGAGCGCCAGAGGCCCGTCCCAGTAGATCCTGCTTTGGCAAAGTCTCTTAGCGTAGAGGCCATCAGGTGCCATCCACAGTATTACTCCTCGTTCCAGGTGGTTCAGTAGTTTTTCTATGTTCTTCCTCTGGCCATTATCCTCTGGATAAGGGAAGATAACTTGGTCCAGGCTGCTGACCTCATAACTTTGGCCATGGGATATCCTACAACCTTCAGGACTAGAAGTTGTCACCTCCTTCACCAGTATTTCACGGTAATATAAGCAGATGTGGAGTCTACAGTCTACAAGGAGAAACAAACAAACAAACAAACAAACAAGAATCACTGAGTTACATTAGGACAGATGTTTCATGTTTCATTTCTGTACTAAGGCCAAGAGACAAGTTTGCATGAGATTTCTGAGACTGGTGGTCAGCACCACCCAGAAGTTCACATTAACAAAAAAAAAAAAAAAAAAAAAAAAGAATATAAATACTAAAACTTGTTGAGCATAGTAGCATTAATGCTCTCTCATTGTATTAAAAGGGTTACTGATGTGTGGGAAAATTCACATTTCCATTTAAAAGGAAAAATCCGCACACAAAAAGATGATGTTTGTCACATTTTCCAAGTTCATGTCACAATTAAACCCACCAGCTCAACACACTTCCTCAGATTTAATAAGGAAGTAGCTATGTTTCCTCCCAGATTTTGCATAAAAGAGGCTTCTGCACAGGGGACCTGCAAACTTGCACTCAGCTGCCTGAAGAGAAGAGACTGCTGGCTCCAGCTCCAACAGGGCTGTACCCAAAATCCCCAGCCTTACTTTCATATGGCCATTTGGTCAACTTGGCTGACTCCTAAGAATTCACATAGCACTGAATATATATATATATATACACACACACGTGTGTGTGTGTGTAAAATGTATTTTATATGCACACACTAGCACACACATATATACATACATACTGACCCTGATTCAGGGGAACAATCCCGCTCAAGAAACCCGCCAAGTGCCACATTACAGGTTTATCCATTATTCCCACACCTTTTTCCCAGAGTTATTCAGACAGTTCCCCAGCATCTGGACATCTGCAAACCTGGCTGAAATTACTTCCCTTTTCTTTCCTGAACATTTTTTTTTTCCACCTGCAATAATGAAGCAGAGCAAAGCCAGATGGCAACAGCAGGAGCACAACTAAGCACCCAGGAAACACCAATTTTTTGGGGGCTCCTCTCAGATGAAAAACTGAGCCTTAAATCACTGACCCCCAAAAATTTCCAAACTCCTCTGGGAAGGTCTGATTTGGTGTCTCACCAAAGCAACCCAGCATTAATACTGTGAGCCAGTGAAGTGCTTCCAATAATTTTAACAACCTCCATCCCTTGAAGCTGGGGCTAGAAGTGCTTAAGTATCCTGGAAAACAGAGGCTAAACACCATACACCAAATTCATTCATTAAAGAGATTTGGGGTTTTTTTGTTTTGTTTTTGTTTGGTTGGTTGGTTTGGTTTGTTTTTCGGGTTTTTGTTGGGGTTTTTTCCTTCTTTTTAACTTCCATCAGAAAGGAAAGATGGTCCCCAGACAAGTCAAAACTGAAAGTCTCTTGTCAAGTTCCCCAGGAAGCCTGAGGGTTACAGACCTTACCTGACAGGGCAAGGGCTTCACCAGACCTTATGCTTGGCTCAATCGGGATGCCGGGAGTCTGGGACTCAGGAGGAGCACAAGCATAAAAGGTTCCTGTCACCTGACAACCTGTTTTCACAAACAAAAGTCAGTGACAGCAGCCTAAATCCTAAAAGAAAAGCTAAGGTAGAGAGCACAGCAATGCAAAAGTGAGTTTTTCTGGACCCCAACAGGAACTCTGTCTTTCCCCTTCTTCTGAAAAAGGTCCTATTTCCCAGTTTTTCCTGGTATACCAACTCTACCAATCACTCCAGATGTTACTCGGACTGTGTTTGTATTTGGGTCTGCATGAAATATTCCCTTAGCATTTTAGTCCTTCTCCTTACCTAACATATTATTCTATTAGAGAAATAATTTACATATTGTTAACTAGACAACAGTGCTCTTAAAAGTCATCTGCATGAAACAATCCATTTTGTATAAGGAATTTAACTAGTGATGGGTATAACAATAAAGGTGGGATTAACGCTGTTTAAATGTACGTAAAGAAAAATGTGCAGCAGAAGGTTATTGGGATTTTATTTATATGTTTAACTGCTGCAGAGGATGTACTTCAGGGCAGAGTTCATTCTGCTTGCTACACTGATTTTTTTATTAGCAAATAGCTCAACTAAAAGCAAAGGATTCTGCCTAATAATTCCAATATGCTGCCAGCAAGAGTATCAGTGCACTGAGAATTTACTTTTTAGCAGACCCAAAGATTTCTCTGCACCAAAACCTCTAGAGAGCTGTCCTCTGAAAATGTAGCACCTATTCTAAGAAGTCCTTTTTCGCTTTCCATCCTTTCCTGCCCTTCTGAACCAACTGCTTCTCCTCACAAAGAAAATGCCTGCATTCTCAGGTGAGTTATCCTAGAGGGGTCTACAGCACATGGTTCCCTTTCTCTTATGTTTTATTCCCTGCAGGCTTCAGCATTGCCAATTTTCACACTTCAGGCTTTTTCCTAAGGATGCAGAGCTCGGAAAGCCATGATTATGTTAGGCGTCGGTACTGTGAGATCTTCAGGGAAGGGAACGTTTCTTTATTCTGCTTCTGCTGTGCCAGCCCCAAGAGAGTCTCAATCTATGACAAGTTGTCCCACTGCTGCAGCACTAAAATAAAGTAATAATTCCAGCTTTCTTCTCGGTAGAATAATGCCAGTCTAACCAACAAGGCTGGAGGGAAAACCTCAGTGACATGTGCCTCAAAAAGTCCGAAATCAGAAAGAAAAGCTAAAGAACATATGTTCCCATTTGGGTTCTTTTGTGGGGTTTGGTTGCCTTCTTTATTGCTCAAGGTTTTTGAGACAGCTGAGAACTTTGGGGCTGACTTCTGTCAGTTCAGAGGACTGCGTAGCCCACACTTTATATATATGATGGTAGGAAACACAGGAGCCTGGACAAAGGCTCTTGCCATGGACCTGTGGGTCTCTTAAGGGAACCCAGCACTCCTCTCTGTCCACTTTTGTGAATTCCAATCAAAGCCACAAGGAATAGAACTGAAAACTGAGGTTCCTCTAGGTGACCAACCTCAGCAAGCAGCCCTAAACAGGAATGTCTTACCATTTTCACAGCCGGGTCCTTGCCAGTGATGACTGCGAGCCGGGAAGGGGACGCTGGCGCACTGGTAGGGAATGTCAGGATGTGGCTGCTCCGGGGCAAACTCCCTCCAGTTCCGTTCATGGGGTAACATGTAGTTCGGTACCTATTCAATTTAACGAGGCATTTTTTTTAGTAGGCAGCTGTCAAAACTAATGCTGTGCATTGTATCAGCTTTCGTATCTAAGCTCCTTGATTTTCTCTGCCAAAGCTCGTGGAGGTCTAAGCTTTGCCCAGACTACACGAATGGCATGTCGCCACCACCACCAATGAGGCTTTCAAATGAGTTTCCCACCACTGGTGTAAATAATAAGCGGAGTGGAATAACAAAGGGCAGTCAAAGCACTGCTGGTAAATGTCTGCTTGAAAGAGCAAGGCTTCATTGGGTGCTTACATTCTGGCATCAACAGAATGGCAGGGCACTAGTATCTATCGTCCAACAGAAAAGAACCATTACTCTGGGATGAACAACACCAAGGGAAATCAACTGCCCTGTGGCCTCATCTGACATTAGAAAAGTTGCTTCTCAATTTCTCAGTTTCCATAATAAAGTTTCTTCACAGAGAGAACAAGAGATCCCCACCAGCAAGGACAGACATAGCGCATAGCACAGAAATTATGCTGCTCAGTGTAGAAGCATCAAGCAAAATATTTAACTAATGCCATACCTGGGATGGTAGTGCAGTGTAAGGAGAGGTTATTGGAAAGGGATGGTTCATCATTAATGGTTGCTCCTCCATACTGATTTGCTTTGCACCTATGTTCACCCGAGGGATGAAAATAAACTATGTCAACCACATCTGAAGAAATGTGAAATCAGCACATTGAAGACAAATCCATACAACCTGCCACTGAACAACCAAAGGACCAAAATGCCTTTGGGACCAGCTTCCCAGCACCCTCTTGCAGGCAGCTCCAGGAGCCAGTCTGTCCCGTTGGGTTCTCCAGTGCTCCACAGCACAGTGCTGCCCACCCATACCTAGTGCATAATGATGCCAAGCCTTTGCATCCTACAAGCCCTGCCTGGCACAAGGACTTCCTGGAGAGCAGACAGTGCCCCTGCCTCTGCCCTGGAGGTTGCAGGCTGGGCATCCCTCTCTCCCAGCTCTTCTCCCTGCAGTAGTCACTGACTGTCTGCCTCAAATTTTTATATTTTTATATTTTTATATTTTTTTTGCCTGTCCTTTGAGCTGCCTGCTTGGCTCTCACTACACAGAACTGGTAGGGAGGCTCCAGCTAAAAGAGCAATTCCTCCAGCGATGTGCAGAGCGCCTGTCTGCATCTTCTTGCAAGGGTTCCCTTTCAGTGCTCTGACTCAAATGCCAGCAGTCCTCCTGTAGACACAGCCTCTAAAGTCATCAGAACAAACTGCACCTTGAGCCCTCATTTTGGCTCCTTAAAAGACTTAAAAAGACTGCAGTGCCATTCCAGAAAAGCACACTTCAGTCCTCATATGCTTACAATAAGACATATTCACACTCTGTTACACAGGGAATTTGAGATGCTTTACCTTTTTTAGCTCCTTCTGGCACTATTCTGTACACTTTATAGGGATCTGAGATGTCCAGCTGGCTTCTCTCCACCAATTCTTCAAAGTCATTGCTCTTGTTCAAAGCACACCTTAATCTTGTCTTCCAGGTAGGGGGATCTGGTTTATCAATGCCCTCTCTGAACTTTCCTTTAAAAAGAGCCCAAGCCTGAAAACATTTCAGATAATCAAAAGAGCAAGAAAAGGAAAAAAAAAAGAAAGAAAAAAAAAAGAAAGAAAAAAAAGAAAGAAAAAAAGAAAAAGAATCAACTACAAGGTACAATGCTTGAAACAGCCTATATGTGTGTGCTTATATGTGCATGAATTTACTCCCTATAGGTTCAGGTTAAAAAAGCCCCATCATGGTAAGGTAGGAAAAACAATTTAGCAGGCACAAGAAAGGGGAGAAAACAATCCAAGATGAATGTGGTAACAGGTGTGCTGCAGTCCCACCAGCATTTAGCTCCACACGGAGAAATGAAAAAGGGGGGTCTGTCCCGCAAACACAGGGGACACCAGGGCACAGCCAGGGCCACCAGCCTGGCAGCAGCAGCCAGGCAGCAGAACCAGTCTGCAGATGCAGGTGCCAAGGACAGAATGGTGAGGGGCATCGCAGAGCCACCAGGCGTCCCGTCTGTCCTGCCTATGTTCCAACCCCTGCCCATGCCCCAACCCCAGGCTGAGCCTTACCTTAAAGAGGGCAGCATCCTCCTCACGGTTGTAGTCCTGCTTGCCAGCATGCTTCCAGGGGATGCGGAAGATGCTCTTCTCATCGTTCTCCCACACCAGCCCGGGGTACTTGCCACTGTCTATCTGGTCGATCAGCCACTGGCGGAGTTTCCCGTTGCCACAGCTCACCGAGTTCATCCCGCACTCGCCCGGCTCCAAGTTCATGCCACTTGTGTCAGAGGTTGGGTGGGAGTTTTTTGGGATGCCCCACCAAGCTGACCTCTCCACAGACGTCCAAGGACCAGCTCTCTGGGGGGCTGTGAAGAGGGAAGAGATGGGCAGGATGGGAGAGAGGAAATCCTACAGGTCAAGTGCCGGGCAAAGTCCTCGCCATCAGTCCTTAGTCCCTGATGCCACCACATACCACAGACCAAACAGCAGCTACATGCAGGGGGGCCCTGGGACATGCAGCAGGGCCCTGGGGGGCCCGGGAAACATGGTACAGAGGTTCAGGAAACTGGGCACAGCCCCCCACAGCTCTCCCCAGGCACTGCTCCCGCCGCAGACTTTGACAGACTTCCCCCTGTCCCGACACTGTTTTGCATGAATATACATCGGTTGTTGAAATTTTCGTTGCAAGTGGCTTAAGGCACAAACCCCTAATCCTGCCCAGAGTTTAACTGGGGAGTTACTTTTCGACCAAAACAGGAAAAAATTGCATAAAAATTTATTTGCAAATGGCAGTGCACATATGTGACATTAGACACATGCACACAATTTGGAGGGCTCCACATGCAGTTATGATTTATACGGCATCTATCTATAACATCAAAGTAGTTTTCACAAGCTCCCTTAAGCAAGACACGTTTGAACACATGATGTCCTATACATATCTACCCCTCCAACTGCTCCCAGCACTCATACATAGCAACATTCAAATCTATACATCACATATACCTAAAAGCGGAAAGACAGCAACCCACAGAGCCTGGCATAAGGGCACTGTCCCCAGGGACGTGGGAGCTTGCAGCCCACCTCGCCGAGGTGCACACACGCACAGGGAGCGGTGCGGCTCTGCAGTGACAGGCACCTGCTGAAAAGGTGCTAACGACAGGACACCGACACCAGCGACAGGGACCTGGCATTAGGTTTGTCCCATCGATCTGAGAAAGTGCTTGAATGCCCAAGAGCTTAGTTTCGTGGGTGTCCAACCTCCATCCCTCCCCCCACCTCCCGCCTATTACGGCTAAAAAAAGGAATTCCTCACCCAGGAATCTTTGCCTCTACACACGAGGAGTCTTTCGGAGCCCCTCGCTAGACAGGTGCACACTACTGTGGGCAGATGGGCAGCTCCGCTCTGCATCCCTTACACCCCTCGGCAGGGGCAGCATCCCCCCGGACACCAAACCCGGTCCCCCAGCACCTCCCTTGCACATGGTGTGTCTGGTGAGGGGTGTCCGGGGCCGCGGCTCCCCCGCGCGGGGCCCGCCGGAGCCCGTGCGAAGAGTCAAAAAAAGTAATTTTTCCCTCTTTGACTGAGCATGAAGCGGATCCCTCCCATACATTTCCGCGACCCTCCCGAGGGCAGGGGGGAACCGGCCGGGCCGGGGACCGGGTGCGCGCCTTCACCTCGGGAGCACATGACGGGCGGGCATTAGATTTTTGTTTCAAATTGGGGTAAAATAGAATAAAAAGTTTAAAAAAAAAAAAAAAAAAAGAGAGAGAAGGAAAAAAAAAGAAGAAAAAAAGTCCGAAGGGCTCGCTCAGGTGCCCAGAGCCACAGGAGCAGCCCCGACGGCGAGAAGCCAAGGTGCCCGCACCGCCCACCCCACCTCCCTCCCCGTCGCGCCGGTTCCCGCGGCGGGCCCGCCGTGCCCCGGCGGCGGGCGGGGGACTCGGGAGCCCGGGGGGCTCTGCCGCCCTTACCTCTGTCGCGGCACTGGGAGCGGGCAGGGGCCGCCGGCTGCCGCGGTGGCCGCTGAGACGGGGCGCACGGCGACTGGGTCGGCGGCACCGGGAAGTTTCTTTATATGATGGAGGGCGTCGTGCCCGGGCTGGGGGAGGCGGGCCCGGGCCCGGAGGTGGAGCCGGCAGAGGGGAGCGGGGACTTGGCGAGCTGGAAAACATCTGAGGCAGTGACACATACCCATTGCTGGTAAACACACGCTGCGGGCGGGAGGGCGTGCAGCCCGGCGCCCTCTCTGCGTCCCCGCTGGGTTGGGTTTTTTTAAATCTATACAGACAGACACACATACATAAATAGTCCGGGGAAACTCCTACCTGTGAGAGCCGGGCGGCTTTTACTGTAAAGACCCAGCTCGCTACACCCACCAGAAACGTCCTAGACGGCGCCGGCCGGGCCCCCGGGATGCTCGGGGAGACGGCGGGGGCATCCGCCCGCCCACCCACCAAGGCCGTGCCCAGGGTCGCTACCCTCTGCCGGCACCCTCTGCGACCCAAGCCGGCTTTGCTTGGGCCACAAGAGCCGGGATCGTGGAGGGGGATGAAGCACGCACCCGCTCCTCGTTACCCCGGGGCTCGGGCTCTCCCCATCCAGCCTATACCGTGTATTGCATTCCCTAAGGTGTGAAATGGGGGGCAAGGTGAGGAAGAGCAGCGGCGCCGAACGCCGCAGGCAGCGAACCCCGACGGGGCGGGAGCAGCCGCCACCCCCGGCCGGGAGCGGCTCCCGCCCTCCTGAGCCCGGGGCATGCTGTCTCGGGAAAGCCCATCTTAAGGCACCAGGAGCCAAACCAGCTCGCTGGCCTGCCTTCAAAGCCCCCTGCCCCAACGTGGTGGGAGCTGGTGGATGAAGGAGCGAGGTCCGGGCTTGCATGAAAGTCCCTCTTACCGCCTTTCAGGTTTCAAACACGTGTTTCATGCCACGACACTTTCTTGTTGTTGTTCTGTTCTAACGTCTCCAACACACATCCACATCCTTTCTGCTGTAACGTATCAGATCAAAAAACCAGTCATCGAGCGCTGCACTGGCAGGCTGCCGGCGTGAAGGGTACACGCAGAGTTTAGGATATTAATTGCAAATCTTCAACGCCATCTTCTGAAATTTAAATGTAATTATCGACACGTTTTGAGGGAGAAGTGAGAAGTGCAGGCATTTTTAGTTATTGGGTTTATCACCACACCGTCTGTCCTCTGAAAAAAGAATTGGCAGTGCCCATCCGAAATCTTTTCAGTCCTGAGTTAAGGCACCTTTGAAACATTAAAATACATCTTTAAGATTGGAGGTGACTGCCACCATAAATCAAGATGAGCAACCACAGCTTTACCAAAAGGCATCTGAAAGACTTTCTAAAAATCCAATTTCAATTCCTACGGGTAAGATTGTGTGGTATTACTCAGGGCGCCAGCTGTAATTTCACTAAGTATAAAACCATCTTGGAATATATCACTGTAAAAGGAACACTTCTAAAATCTTCTGTTTTGCAGTTTTTAAACTATTGAATTCTGAGCCAGTGTGAAACATGCAGATTGGATCTACATTAGGTCAAGCCCTTCAGGAGAAAAATTAAAAAAAAAATAAAAACCTTCTTTCTCAAATGCTGGAGAATATTTAAATAGTTGCTCTTGTCCAATGAAATCCATGTATAGATAGCAAAGTAGATGAGTTGTACATCAAGAGAAAATAAAGTCAATCATAAAAACTCCAGAGAGTACATATGTAGAAAATTACCTGGTTGGCTGGTTGGTTGCTGTCTTTGTGCAGCAACAGCTCTATTACTAAACTATCTCCAGTTACCTAAATGTTAAAGAAGATGATTAAAGACAGACCCCTATATGTACACTTGGCCTTTGCAAATCAGTGTGCCCATGAATAAGACATGCTAAGCTCATTAGGTTTGCTGACTTTGTTACTTGGGGTTTCTGGACATCAACCGTTTCCATTTAAGATGGCAAAAGTGTGCAGGACTGCCAGTAGAAAACTCTGATCAATAACACAACTGCAGCGTCTCCACTGCAGCAGTGCACCAGTAAACTTCTGTTGGGTGCTTTTTGCATATACTGAGACAATTCCTCCCTAACTGGCCTTGCTAGTACCTCACCACCTGTTCATCCCTTTCTAGTGTTTTCCACACCATTCTGAGTGCCTGACTCTTCAAACCTTACCCAAAAGCCCTGCTGCCTTCATGGAAGTTTTCTGAGTTAATGACTGAGTTGAAGTCCCCTTGTGAAAACGCTCTTGCTGCTGTTTAACCACGGCAGTCACCACCGGGCCCCCTGTTTTTCACACTCTTAAGGTCACACTGACTAAAGGCATACCAGGAAAAGTGACTGTTTCTTCTCAACAGTCGCTCACAAGCCCTCAGCACACAGAAAGATGGCTTCTGCTTTCACCAAACCCCTCTGAAGTCCCAACTGACTCACCTGGGAATTGCACCCAAGGCAGAAAAGCAAAGAGAGATGTCAGCTCAGAGCAGCTGCCGGGGGCTCTCTGAAATGGGTCCGTACGGAAAGGGGCAGTGCTGAGCCAAAGGGCACAGATGTTAAATGCTCTTGCACCCAGGAGTGTGTTTATTCCTCCTTTCCTTCAGGAAGGTTGCCCTTCCTCTCTGGGTACAAAGGCTCTTCTGCCTCCCCAAAATATCACTGGGTTAATGCAGACTCTAAGCCAGGGGGACTTGTTAGAAATATGCCAGAGGCAAAATGTCTGGCATCGGAGGCTTTTTGAGGACTGTGGCTCATTGAGGGGCTCTGTCTGCACCAGAGACCATGAAATCTCCTTGGGCACCAGCACAGGGGGAATTCCTTGGTGTGGAAGAGGAACCTGCTGAGGAGAGCGAGGGGTGTTCACTCCCTCACGCTGCTCCCTGAGGTGGTGGAGCTGCACTAGTTACACTGGCCATCCATCTGCCGGTGGCTCTGGTAGGAGTGTGCTTTTGGTAGCGGGTTCAAGTGGGTCTGGCCCCCTGCACTCCTGCTGCAGCCCAGAGCAGATCCACCAGTGAGCAGGAGTGCAGCAGCAAGTGAGCTCCTTCCCCAGTGGTCCAGCTCTCCTCTTGAGGGAAGACCCTGATCAGGGCTCTTCAGGAACCCAGCAAAGCTCGTGCTGAAGCTCTTGACCAATGACATCAGTAAATGCATTTTCAAAAGTGGATTAAGCCCCTAAAAGTGGTTTTGGAATGCACTCAGCTACATGTCTACATCTCTAGCTGTTCCAAAACCCCTTTCCTGAGATGGAGGTGTTTCAGAGACTCAATGCCTTGCTGTTGGCACAGGTTTCTACCAGGGGTCTTCTTGCCTCAGAAGTCCTTGCCAATCCCTGGTTGCAAGTTGCTGTAGAATGATGTCTTCCACTGCCCAAACTTGGAACCCAAACAGGGGCACCAGTAAAACCTCCCAGCACCACAGCTCAGTCAACAGCTCTGAGGCACAGGGTTGAGTTCAAAAGTCATTCATACATCACAAAGACCTCTGTGGATGTAACTGAGTTACTTCAGAGACACTGTGGAAATTCAGAGCAGATTCCCAGTTACCTTGATTTATTCCAGCAAAGCACCTGCTCTATAAGCAGTCTAACACGAGCCACAACAGGCAATTTTAAGCATCTTCTGCTGTGGTAACTTCAACTCTTCAACTTCTGGAGTCATAAGAGGTCCCTTCACATTTTGGAAGCATTGCCAAGTCCACCACAAGACAATACATTAACTTCAAAATTAATTTTTTGAAACATCTGCAAATTAACATCACATAAAATGGAACTGTTAGTCCTTTGGCTTTCCTTTGAAGGGAAAAGGTTGGCATGCACATCCAACCAACACGCACAGAAGCAGCAAAGCACCCTTCCCTGATGCCATGTCTCCAGAAACTTGGAAACCTTGGGTTAACACCTTCACATCCACAAAACAACAGAAACATTTTTATGGACTTCCCATTTCTCAGGAAAGGAGGTTTCTAACCTCCTGACTGAGCAGCCTCCCCATCTCCCCAAAGCAGTTTAATCTGTGCTAGTCCAACTACTTTCAACAGCAAGCAGCAGCCATAAATCTAAATAAAAAAGAAAAAATATGGGAAAAGAAAAAATTGTAAGTTTTCAAATAAAAAAATAAGGAAAGCATAGTTGCCATCATTTAACACAGTGAATTTCTGAAAAATTCTGAACATAAAAATGTATTTATGAAGAATATATTTGTTTTGTCTTGAAATAATGATTTAAATTACATATAGTCATTTCATAGTCATTATTCACAATCTCTGAGCAGCTGACCTGTCGGTGACCTTCAACTCTCTCCCAGTTCTACCTGATGAGTTCAGGCAAGGGAAGGAGCTGTCTTCTTGGGGAGATGAGCATCACAAGGGTCGTGGTCATTCACCTGATTCTAAGAGGAAATCTTTGCTCTTACCTACTTTGCTTTTTCTTGTTTCTTTGCATTTGATTGAAGAAACTGAAGGCTTCCAGTTTTGTTGAAAGGAGGAACACTCAGTTTTTTAAAAACTTATTTTTTACCAGCCACCATTTCCATTCTTTAAAATGTGTTGTACTAAATAATAGTAAGTACCAGTAGCAATCCCTGTTTTTTAAAAGACCAGGATCTGTCCAGGGCAGGTTCTAGATTTTAAAATAAAAACATAAAGCTAAACATTATGTATTGCTGCAAGAATTTAAAATTTACAACAAATAAAACCTCTATCATGTAAGTAGATCAAGGGAAAAATATATTTTTCCAGACTATTTTTAAAGAACAATAGAGAACTCTTTTAGAAAAACTTTGGTTTAAAGTTCTTCCATTTCAATATGAAAACTCAAAACCTAATGTGCTTGATATTTGACAAAATAGGAAAAAAAAATCTGTTACAATTCTCTTTTGAAGGCTTTAAAATTGACACGTTTGCATTTGCTTATCATAGACAGAATATTTTATCAACCTTTATTTTTGTGTTTTCCGGTTGGTTTGCTTTGAAGCGCAAAAAAGATTTAGTTTATAGTGACCTCCAGTATACAAACCAGCCAACTCTGGTGCTGGCCAAGAGATGTTGGGAGTGGCCTTTCTCTTAAATAGTTTCAGACTTCCATCTCTGCATGGCAGCTATCAAGAACTGCCTGAGACAAGGCAAGGGAACCATGGTACTTTGCCAGTGATGTGAAGCACCACATGGCCATGTGTCCTCTATTCTCTGGAGTAAGAAGTCCAGC